GTATTAAAATGTTGAATTAAAAATATTTAATACAAAATAACTATTATTTACAGAAATCTTTATCAGATAAATTAAATGTATAAATTTAATAAGATATTATTTCTGTTATTGAAATTTCGACTTTTAACATAAATCATCATCATAGAAAGTACGTATATTAATTCCAAAGATAAAATTTTTTATTAGTATAGTTAATAATTTATGAAATGGCAAAATTTCAATGGAATTTATTGAAATAATTAATAAAATCTTCATTTTAAAAAACAAAAAGATATAACCTCCATTTACTTGGAAAATTCTTCCCATATAATTAACCATTATCCATCATCACTTATAGTTCCAAAAATGAAGTTTCCCTCAAATTTAACTTTCTAAAATACTTGGAACTCTTAATTTTTGTCTATTAGAAATAAACAAAGAATATTTTTATCTTATTTAATAAACAATCTCCTCTACTTTATGTATATTGTTTAAAAAGAATTACATTACTAACCTTCTCCTTCCAAAAGAAATGAATTTGATAATTTGAATAAATAATTTTCTTCACAAAATTTATAAACTTACATCGTCTTACTCATCCATGGATGAACAACAAAAATATCATCCCCAAAAAAGTATGCTTAGGCTCCAAAATTATTTAACACTATTAATTAAATAATTTTCCACGATTATATATTATTATTTTATTATTAAATTATTGCTATAGTATTATTTCCATAACATGTGATAAGCTTATTTTAAGACTCATTAAAACGAAGACTAAACACCCAATCATCAATTTCATCAATTTCTTTTAAATCTAATTTAACTACACACTGACCACTTTCTTCCCAAAAATAAATCAGTTTTTCAAGTCCTGCAACAATTAAATTTTTTTTTTCACATATGGCAAAACAAGTAAATAAGTTGTTATTTGCATGAATTTTCATTTGAATTTTTTAATTGTTTACACCAAATAGAGATCTCATTTTAATCATTTTTTCGCAGCAAGAAAATAAATTTGTGTCTTTTTTGCAATTCAAGTTTATCAATCCATTCTTGCTGTGATAAAATTGACAGATTTTATGTAAACATCCATTTTGAAATGCATGTATCTTTATTCCTTTATCATGCCCGATAAACAACATCGAACTTGTGCTATTAAATTTCATTGCTCTACACATTTCATTTTATAAAAAGGAATACTTGATCTCCCAAAAATATTAATCACGATATTTTCTATTCTAATTACATTTTGATTATTTCTTATCTATTGATTTAGAGTTTCCCATACCTAAATTATAATGTAATTGGAATAAAAAGTTAAATTTATTAATAATAATTTTTATAGAAATTATTTCTTTGTATGTATTTTTTTGAAGAAAGCGAAAAAAAAAAATTAAGAAAAAGCCTTTCAAAGTTTTTGTGTTGATATTCTTCTTTATCTCGAAAAAAAATAGCATTTGACAATTATCAAATTGTTTAAGTGAGTTAAATTAAATTAAAAATATTGAATCCTTATAATACAATTATCCAAAACATTTATTAATCTTTAAATCAAATATCACAGGAACTTGTTTAACAATGTTTATCAAAAAATGACTTTTTGTTAAAATCAAATACAAGAAATTACATTCACTTATAGCATTTCCAAAATGTAAACAGGAGTCTTTTTAAATAGCATAAAACTATAGGTATATCAGCAAATCATAAATCCAGAGATTTGAAATTTTAAATCCTTCAATAATTCGTTATATATATAGCAAGAAGAACCTACTATTATTGACAATTTATCTGCTGCTTGATTTATAAGATATTCACTTTAGCATAATCCCTCAAAGTTCTGAAGAAAAAGCTTCTATTATGAAACTATCTTAATTTAATTTCTTATCGATCAAAATCTGATTATAACTACTAAATAAATGAGCTCATAAACTTATTTAGATATGAATGATGTTATATAATAATGAAAATTATGAATAAAAAAAAATTACCAGGGCTTGCATATTTTCAAAAAGGTGACATAGTCAATGTAATTAAAAAAAGATTAGATTATTTTTGTAAATTAAAAAAAAGAATCATCAGTTGCTGTATCAATATAATATTTAAATTTAACAAGACTCCTATATTACCTAATAGTTACCATACATTAAAGGATAAAAAATTTCACAATTAGAAAAATATCATTTAAAGTTTAATGTATCTCATGATCAGTAAAAATAATTCAGGATTAATTGTCTTGAGATATTTTTTAAGGTGAATTTATCAGGTTATACCATATCGCTAATATTAATAATTCTTTATTTTTGGCGATAAAACTTAAATCGAATAATTTCTTTACCTTAGGATTTAAAACACTTCTTCATCCTAAACAACTATAACGTTGGGATATTATATAAACTTGTAATTTTTCGGTTCATAATAAAATAGAATAGATTATCGAACGTTTTTTTATAATAGTGCAGCAAATTATGATTTATTTAAATTCTTTCAAGAAATTGTGATTACTAATTTACTTTTCTTACAATTGTCGATATAAAAATTATTTTAGTTTTGAAAACTGATGTAATAAGGTAACTTTCATGATTTCAGCTCTATTAAAGTAATAAAATAATTAATTGAAGCTTTTATAGGCAAGGGTCCAAAAAGCTTTGGTTATTTATGATACTTACACGTATTCTGCCCTCATTATTATTTAAATTGATAGTCCTATTTTTGAATAATGGTTAAGGTTCTGGCATTATAATCCAAATGACTGCAGATTTAAGTTGCTCTGAGTTGCAAAAATTAACCTTTTTTTGCCTGAAGCAGAAAGAAACAAGAAATAAATTTGTATATTATGAATAAGAATTTTTAATATTAGTTCTATAGTAGATGCTATGATTAAAATTGTTCTCAATTTAAAGTGATCTCTTTAATAGATGAATGGACAGTTACTTACTAAATTCTACTTCTATCAATTTTTTCCAAATAATGGATTAACAATTCGTTTAAGCTAATAATTAGTGTTGTTAAATCGGTTTTTACACAAAAGGATTTTCATCAAAAAGGGAACTGTTATAATTAGTCATTCAAGTCCTTCATCTAAGCATCCCCTATTGTTTAAATATCACTATTGTTTGAATATAATAATTTCTAATTGAAACATTGATAAAATGCAACAATATATTCATTTTTACTCTATTTATACAATTTATTTTACAGCCATTTTATTTTGATCTGGAACTTAATACTTATAAATTTAAGTTAAATTATTTAGTGTTAATTGACTTATACAAAATAAGATAACAATTCCATCTTCATTTATAACCGTTTAATATCAAATCTAATCTTTCTCTAAAATTCATTTAATCTTCTTAAGTTATTAAGTCAACAATTGTCGAGAAATTTTATTACCTCTTAATTCATACAAACGATATTATTAAGCCATTTTTAAATATTTTACAAGAGGTAAAATTTTGTTTTGATAATAGAATATTCAAGTTTTCGAATTAAGGAACAAAATAACTTTTCTTGTATCTTTTTGTTTAAATCTAATGAATCTATTATTTTAATTACAATTGGTTCTTCTTACTCAGAGATAATGAAAAAAGCCGTTATAATTTAAGTCTCTATAATTATCTTGTTCATCTCCTTCTGAAATATAGCAACCTGAAATATATTCATAGCAGTTGGTAAACGGTTGATATTTTATATCTTGACATGGTGGAATAGAAGAATTTAATTCAAATAAGACGTAAACTAGCAATAAATTAAATTTTCATATTATATAATTACTTATTTTAATTTTATTATTCATAATTATATTTTTGAATAATTGAAATTAAAGCTAGTTAAAGATAATTGAATAATAGAACAAATGCCATTATATGCATAAAATGTTTAATGGAAAATTTATGTACTCTAAGCAGATCGTGTTTATAAATGTTGTGAAGATTAAACTTGTATGGAAAGGTTTTTTCAATTACAAATTTATTTAAGAATTTAAGTAGAAATTACTATTTACTTCTGAAATTCCTTATCATATCAAAATAATAAAAGGACAGAACAATTACATAAAAGAGTTGTTATTTTTATAAAAAATCCAAAATAATAAGAGCTGATAAAATGTCATAAAATTGAATTCCAAATTTAATTCTTAATTGTATTGCTCATTAAAATTTAAAGCAGTGCCTATATAAAAGAGTTGCTTTCAATTACTCCTAAATTAATAGGTTATCAAGATTCATTCATTTGAGTCAAATACCCAAATTGGACTAGTTGAAAGTAAACAGTTCTCATTGAACTTAAATGCTGTTTTCTTAGTATGCATAAAGATTAATAAGTAATAATAACTATTATCACAACAAAAAGTTGAGAAGATAAAATAATATTTAAAAAGGATAATAGTAGTCTGTCGAGAGTTTGGATTAAGTTTTAAAAGCTCTTACAGATTCTCTTAATTCGATTATTTAAGCCTACATTAACCAAGGGGGTGGGTTAATAAAATAGCAGGATGCTTGTATAACATGCTTTGAGGTTCAGTAAAAAGAAATTCATTAATGGGAAATCTTTTTATATAATCTCAAATAAATGGACTTAGAGTAAAGATGAATTTCATTTCAAGGATTCCTATTACCCATTTCAAGTTCGAAAATCTTTAAATTTATTGGGTAAATTTATGGAGACTTAATATTTTAATTTAATTCAATTTTATTCTCAGCATTTAGAACTCTATATTTTTGATATTCACTAAAAATCAAACAGAATCTATTATAGTTTATGCAATTTAGGAATGGTTCATCAATTTTAAACAACAAAATACTTTTTTAGTTTTTATATTTTCTGTTCCATGTAAATATAAAATTTGTAGAATAATTATTTATTACGTTCAATTAATATATAATTCATATGTATTATATTTCTGTTCCTCCTTATTCCAAGTAACTAAATACTTTCCATCATTAGTTAATGCTCCTTAGATAGAATTGGATTCATATTTTATCTATGTGATTAATTTTAATTGGCCTTCATTTGATATTTTGATCAAGTAAACATAAAGCTTGTGCCTAACAATCATCAATTTCTTTTTTTTGTCATAAAATATTGGAAATGAAGTGAGATCAGATAATTTATCATTTTGAATTAATTTTACTTCCTTTTATAAATTCTCTTGATATCTTTATTCTTTTAATTCAAAAAAGCTAATACAATCCTTACTAACTTAATCTCCTGTCACCCAAATAAATTAGGAATCATTTATAAAACATAACCTGCATCCAACTTCTTTTATTGATTATGTAACGATATATCCAAATTACCATTTTAGTTCACTGTCTTTCTTCCAAATTATAATTTATTTCTCACCCCCGCAAGAAACCAAAGTATCTTCAGATTAATTAAAGCATAAGCTAAAAATAAAACCTGAATGTTTCTCTAAAGAATAAAGGTAATTTAATTAATTATCAACAAAATCAATTTTCCAAACTTTTATTTAATTATCTCGCCCTCCAGAAACAAGCTAATTTTCAGATTAATTAAAAATTAAGCAATCAATACAATTAGTATGCTACTAATAGGGTTAGGAACTCTACCATTCTTTTTAATTAATCTATTTCCAGCATCTTATAGATTTATCAAAACCTGCAGATACAAAACTATTTCTAGTAAGACTAAATTAAAGACAACATATCGTTTGAGTATGTCCACTAATTTTATTAATTTTATTCAATTTTCCTTTTTCAAAATCCCATATATTAATATCACTATTATTGGCTGATATCATGATTGACCCAGATTAATTAAAAGAAATTGAAAAGCAATTCTCGTTTTACTTATTTGAATTATCAATTAATTTCATATTATGGATTAGATTTAAATTGATTAGAATTTTGTCACATTATGAGTATAACTCTTATTTCCTAAGAGCCAATATTTTCAAATCAATTTTCTTACAAAGTGAATGATTAAGTGTTGTTATTTATTAAATAATTAAGTCTTAACTACTATTTTCTATTGTACCATTAATTATTGTATCTAATTCATCAAAGAAGCTATATTTTGAATTATGTTACTTAAAATCAATAAGATTATTGATCCACTCTCTCGAAGTAGAGATCAATTCATCAACTTATTACATAATATTTGACTTTAATTTATGTAGTTCATTCAAAAGTTCTTCAACCAATTCTAAATCAACTTTGATTAGTCTTTACATGTTTTCTACTTTATTTTTTAAATTTTCTTCAATCATCTAACAAATTCTCAGAGAAATATGCAAACAGAGTGAAGATGTAATTATGATCGAAAATAATTTTGAATGTAAATCGAAATTAACTTTTCTAATATTAATTACATCCTTTTGGGCAAAAATGAACTAAAAACAGCAAATTAAATTAAACAATTAATTCAAAGTGCATATTATATTAATTGATTGAGGTTTATTACTAAAGTAAGAGACAAAATTATATTAAGAGTGATCTTGAAGGTCGATTAATCAAACGAGTTTATATGCAAAATAAAAATCTAAGAAGGGTAATTTGGAATCAATTATTAAAAAACAAATTAGAAATAATAAGGGCCTTTATAATGCAAGGTGGACTAGGGTAGAATACCCTAATAACAAAATGGCCAATAAATATTGTTAATTCGAATAAGATCAAGATGAACAAAAAATATATCAGAATTTCATCCAAAAGCTTGATAGGCTAGAAAGCCTGGATATAATATATTATTAATTATTCCAAATAATAATAAATTGATATGAATTATCAGTAAAAGATTAGAAATCGAAAGCCTCATAAGACATTCACCTACTTAATTTGGCTCATACTTTAAAAAATACCTAGAAGGAATTGCAATTGTATATTTAGGTAAAATACAAAAGAACGGTCTCAAACAGGAAATTCACTCATAATAGAAATGATATTAACCAAATAAATTCTGATTGTGATTCTTCACCAAAGAGAATTTAAGGAGGAATATCTAATAAATCATGTGGAGAAAAAAATATTTAGGAATTTGGGTGAGATTTACCGGAAATTTGAAACATTAGATGAATTATGATAAATAAAAGGCAAAAGATATAAATATCAAAAAAAAAGCAAAAAGGAGGAAAATATTGCCCTTTAGAATACTAGTAAAAAATTGGATAATTTATTTGCTTCCAATAATTAGATACTGCAATCTTGCAATAAGGTTGAAAATCAAATAATAACAATGCAATTTTAGATCATAAAGAGGAATTTATTGGGAAGTGTATTTCAAAATGGATACTTCATGAGATAATAAGAAGGCTAGAATTCAACTCTAAGGAAAAAAGATACACGAGAAAATAGATATATACTAAGATATTCGGAAAAACTTATTAAGAAATTAGGATGGGAGAATCAAGCCCCATGGATTATTCGATGTTAGACATCAATTGGTAGAGATGGAGAAGAAGATAAATGAGGAACAGGAAGGAGACTTTATTACAAATGATATTACAACAATCTAAGTCCACCTATTTGGTGAGGCTGGGAACTGTATTGCAAAGATGTAAATTATTCTAAAATATACAGAAAATAAAATGAGCAATTTTATTCCTAGGCATAAGATGTAGGAGTAAATGAATTGAATAAGAAAAGATTAAGATAACTTATTTCAAAAGAATGTATCCCTTTCAAATATAAAATCATAAAAGTTTATCAGAAGTGATTTAACATCTAATTTAATTTAAAATCCCTTTCTATCTAAAAATGAAATATTGTCTGAAATTGTTGTCTAATTTATTTTATATGACCAAATAAACAATATTGGCTTTAATCTAAAGAATCATCTAGTACGTTCTGAAGGCTTTATTTTCAAAAGTTTTAATTAAAATTAATTAGAAAGATTTTCTATTTCCAAAATCCTAGTTTAATAAAATTAAGAAAAATAGAAGCATCATTAATAGAAATAACTTCGTATATAAATAGCATTCAAATGCATTACATAAAGGATAAGTTAATTTAATATTTGTTGAAATCTTTAAAGAAGGTATCGTTGTTTCAATAATAATTTCCAAATTCAATTTCAAAATACATTTATCAGAAGTTTATTCGAAGAAAAAATTTCTTAGTAATTCAATTTTAAAATTTATGAATCACAAGCATTCCAAGTTGATATTCTGATTTCATTTTCTTTTTTTGTAAACAAAATAAGGTCGTAAAAAGTTAATTCAAAAATCAAAAGATATATTTCTAAACTTGAAATAAGTGATATTATGCTTTATTTTGTCAGAATGATTAGATAAAAATGAAGGATAAGTATTTTTCTTATTGTTAAATGAATTTGCAACACCCTATAAACAAATAGTTTCATCCAATATCATAGAAGAAACATATCCTGAAATTACTAAACACATTGATATAAAAGGAAAGAATTCTAATGATTGACAGCTACCCCTTTGGAGATTTGTTGAATTTAAAAAATAAATATTATTACATTAATATATAATTTATTAGAATTTAAGTGAATTTTATAATATGGCCTTTTTATTATGATCACTAAGTATAATAGCATTAGATAAATTATGAATTAATAGAATTTAAATATTAAAATAATATTTAAAATTACTCAATGGCTGAGTAACATTTATTTGAAATTTTATCTTTGTCAAAGTAAATTGAGGAATCAATATACAATATAGTTATTGGAATATTAAAGCAAGAGAAAAGTTCAGATTGCTTAGGGTTTCTTTAAGAAAGCTGTAATCAGTCTCTCCTTTAATAATATATTTTGGAAGAAAAATTAACCAATATTGATTAGCAAGAGAGATTGAATATTATAAAATATAATATTGGGATTCTTATTAACATCCTTACCAATATTTCTAAGCTCAATTTCAATAAAGACGATTATTCTACAATAGTTAACATAGAAACTAAAAAGAATATAATTTAGAAGATATAAAAAATAGAGCAAATTATTGTGTTGTTAAAATTTTTTGTTCGTCTTACAGCCATAGACAGCAAATTCATCTAGTGCGGATCTAATGCACTAAATTTATTAGTAGAAATGAAGGTTGATTTGAAGAAATAAAATTTTGAAAATATTAAGATAATGAATACTTCTTTGATAGGAGCTAATTTAGTGAGATGTAATTTGAGTGGATCTGAATTTGATAACGTAGATATAAGTGGAATCAATTTAAATGGAGCGTAATTATTTAATTGCAAATGGAGAAATATTAAGATCGATAAGTTGCATTCATTAAATGGTCATACCAGTAGAGTAAATTCAGTTTGCTTTTCTCCTGATGGTACTACATTAGCATCTGGGAGTGATGACGAAACTATTCGTTTATGGGATGTTAAAGCAGGAAAAATAAAATCAGTGCTTAAAAGTCATGGTTGGGTAAAATCAATTTGCTTTTCACTTAACTGTAATGTTATAGCATCTTGCAATTACCTGAATGTGTATTTATGGAATCTTAAATCAGGAAAAAAAATATTAAAATTAAATGGTCATACAAATAGAGTGAATTCAATTTGCTTTTCTCCTGATTGCACCACATTAGCTTCTTGTAGTTAAGATTAAATTATTCATTTGCGGGATGTTAAAACAAGAGGACAAAACTATTAATTAAATGGTCATACGAGTAGAGTAAATTCAGTATGTTTTTCTCCTGATGGTTCTACGCTTGCTTCAGGAAGCAATGATGAAACTATTAGTTTATGGGATTTTAAAGTGGGACAAAAAAAATCTCAATTTAATGGCCATAGTGATTGTGTTAATTCAGTTTGTTTTTCTGCCGATGGTACTACATTAGCATCTGGGAGTGATGATAAAACTATTCGTTTATGGGATGTTAAAGCAGGAAAAATAAAATCAGTGTTAAAAAGTGATTCTAGGGTCTGGTCAATTTGCTTTTTACTTAATGGAAATAGATTAGCAACTTGCAGTGGTCGATAGGTGTACTTATGGAATATTAAAACAGGAAATCTAAAATCTTAACTAAATGGTCATGGTGAATTTGTTAATTCGATATACTTTTCTCCTGATGGCACTACATTAGCATCCGGGAGTGATGATAATTCTATTCGTTTATGGGATGTTAAAGCAGGAAATCAAAATTCCTCCTCAGATGGTCCTTCTAGTAATGTGTATTAAATATGCTATTCCCCTAATGGGACCACTTTAGCATCTTTAAGTAATGATCAAATTATTTGTTTTTGGGATGTCAAAACAGGGCAAAAAATATCGTATATACATATTTATGATTATTCTGTTAACTCAATATGTTTTTCTCCTGATGGTACTACTTTAGCAACGGGTAGTAAGTTTTTAATTCGTTTATGGGATGTTAAAACAGGAAAACAAAAATCAAAAATAGATATATATACTAATAGTGTGAATGCAATATCCTATTCTCCTGATGGATCTACATTAGCAGCTGCAAGTTACGATAATTCTATTTATTTGTGGGATATTAAAACAGGACAATAATAAACCTAATTAAATGGTCATAATTTAGATGTTACAACATTATGTTTTTCTACTGATGGTACAACATTAGCTTCTGCCAGTTAGGATAATTCTATTCGTTTTTGGGATGTCAAAACAGGAAAACAAAAATCTAAATTAGATGATCATACTAATTTTATGAATTCAATATCTTGGTCTCCTGATGGTAATACATTAGCATCTGGTTGTATGGATAATTCTATTCATTTATGGGATGTCAAAACAGGATAACGAAAGGCATAATTAAATGGTCATAATGAAGATGTAACATCGGTATGCTTTTCTTCTGATGGTACTATATTAGCATCTGGAAGTAATGATAAAACTATTCGTTTGTGGGATGTTGAAACAGGGTAGTAAAAGTCTATATTAAATGGTCATAGATAAGGAGTTAGTTCGGTCTGCTTTTCTCCTGATAGTACTGTATTAGCTTCTAGTGGTTAAGATAATTCTATACGTTTTTGGGATATTAAAGAAGGACAACAGAAGGCTTAATTAAATGGTCATAGTTAGGATGTAACATCGTTATGCTTTTCTTTTGATGGCACCATATTAGCATCTGGTAGTTAAGATAATTCAATTCGTTTTTGGGATATTAAAACAGGAAAGCAAAAATCTTAGTTAAACGGCCATAAAAAAGAAGTTACTTCCGTATGCTTTTCTCCTTATGATACTATGTTCGCATCAGGGAGTAGCGATAAAACTATTCGTTTATGGGATGCTAAAACAGGAAATCAAAAATTTTAATTAAATGGTCATACTAGAGCTGTTATGTCAGTTTGTTTTTCTCGTGATGGTGCTATATTAGCATCGGGTAGTGGAGATAAAACTATTCTTTTATGGGATGTTAAAAATGGACAACAAAAATCATTACTATATGGTCATAGTCATTATGTGGCATCGTTATGCTTTTCTTTTGATAATTGTTTATTAGCTTCTGGTAGTGGAGATAAAACGATTCTGCTATGGGATATTAATACAGGAAAATAAAAATCTTTATTAAAAGGTCATAATAGTGGAGTTTATTGTGTATGCTTTTCTCCTGATAACCTTACATTAGCATCAGGTGGAGAAGACAAATCTATTCGTTTTTGGGATGTCAAAACAGGTTATTAAAAATCTTAATTAAATGGTCATTGTGATATTGTTACTTCTATTTGCTTTTCTCCTGATGGTAATACATTGGCATCTGGAAGTTTTGACAACTCAATTCGTTTATGGAATTCTAAAACAGGATTAAAAAAATCTCAATTAAATGGACATAATAATTGCGTTTAATCAATATGTTTTTCTCCTGATGGCGCTACATTAGCATCAGCAAGCTCGGACAATACTATTCTGTTATGGGATGTGAAAATAGGACAACAATAATCTTTCTAACATGCTTATTCAAGAGTTTATTCAGTTTGTTATATTCCCGATGGTATTATAGTAGCATCTAGAAATTATGATTAAATTATTGATTTATGGGATGTTAAAACTGGAGAACAAATAAAACATTCAGAAAAAGTATATAATGAACTTCTATCTAAAATAAAAATACAGCTTAAAAATAATTCTATTTCATTGTTTCAGGAATAAGGTATTTATATGTATATTTCTTAGCAGATCCTATTACAATAAATCTTTTAACTTCAGAACTTACATTTTTAGCAGAAAATGCTATAATATTAAGAGGAGAATTTATAAATCATCTTGGTATCAATTTAAAACACTTATTTCAATAAAATGGAGGTTGCTTTTTGGAAAGAAAATTAGAATTAGCCTAAAATGCTCTAAAAATTTGAATATCATATAAAACCATCCAAAAAATATAGTGTATCGTTTTATTATGGAAACCCCTTTCAAGTGGACTCAAACAAAAATATTTATATTTTACCATTCAGAGGCAACAATGCTTTAGCTCTATATTCACTTAGTTCCTTTTCTACTCTTTCCAAAAGTTAATATAGATATATAGCAGTTGTCTGACTTATTTTTTTAAATGCTAATTTCTTTCAAGCTTATTTCCTGTTAAATTTTTTGATTTCTTTATTTCTAATTTCCTCATTAATAATAAACTTATGATCGATTTCTTCAATAGTCTATTATAAGTATTAGCCTGGTCAATTAATATTAATCTCTGAATGGTGAAGCGATGTCACAGATTAAATTTTTGATCGTAGCTTTGATGAGAAAATTATTCATAAATTAAATTATTAAATAATCTAGTTAAAATTCAATTGCGTGATAAGCAGCGAATATATTATCACTAGTTACTTATGCCTCTTTTCTTAAGTATAGGAATTGCATAAAATTTTAATATTCTATTATTTATCTCCTTTTCTTAATATATTGTATCCTATCCCATTTTGAGATTAACTTCCCTGTTCTTAACCTGTTTTAGTTGCCCAAGCTCTAGGTACAAAAATGTACTCACAACAATTTAAATTTATATCTCGATTTTTTTCTTCTTTCGACTTAGCATTTATTCTTTATTTGAATTTCAATCCAAGGAGTAAAGAGTCTAAAATAACCATTCTAATGATCTTAAAAGAATTATTAATAATTTAGAGAGTACTTTAAATTCTTATCCCCAAACGGATTGACTTGGCAACAAAAGATTGGTGATATTTTTCATATAAGTTAGCCTTGCATAAATATAATATTTTGCTTCCTCCTTATTCTAAGTAGGCTATTTTCTTTAGAATTTGAGGAGGTAATTTTGCTATACTTTTATTTTTTAGTTTACACATTTAAGTTCAAAATTGCAGTGTACTAATTTAGGTAAAGTATAATATTATTATCAGCATTGATTGAGAATAAAACGGGAATATTATTAATTAGGAGAATTTCAGGATAAAATGATATCTACAATTTAAAAATTTAAACAATCAAATAGTCAATCAAAAAAAGGTTAACTGAGTATCTGTTTAAAGAACGATTTAAGAAATTAATTACAACAATTTGTAAATAATATTATTTTTTCTACTACTCTTTCTTTTAATTAAGGGATCCTATTTTAAAATTTCTTTTTAAAAATTTATAGGTTGGTCTATCATGAAATAATTTTGATTAGATCTATCATTTCTTTGCTGGTATAACGACCTATTTAGAATTTCACTAAGTTATTTTACCACAAATCAGCACATAAAACTAATAATTATTTGAATTAAGAGTCACTTGGTAGGTTTTCAATGAAGATTGTAGTCATAAAGAGGAAATTAATAAACAAAACTAATTTATGTGTTGTAGAAAAAAAATCTATCCTACTTTTTTTTTTAGGAAATTGGCTCTAATTTTAATTTGCAATATAAGTTGGTTTCGATCGTATTATTGGTTCAAATATTTTTCAAATATGGATGTTTGTAGTTTATCTCAAGAAATTATCAGATATTCATTCATAAGTAATTGCTTTATTAGAAAACATTCTTTTCTAGATCTCGAATATATCGAAAACTTCGAGAGGAGACATATAAGGGTAAGCGTTTCGGTTTGAATTATTATTCCTACTATATTGGACTAAGTTATTCTAGGTAGTTGTTCATAACTGCATCTCCAAACTTTAATTCATTTGAGTCATTAATAAAATAAGATATATATCTATTTTCTTTTAAAGGGATTTAAAATTGTGATGGTTTTCGATAGTTTATAGAAACCATTTTTATCATTATTTTTATTATTCTTAATTAATTGTCCTAGTTTAGAAAATAAATCAGCTTTTTCAAAAGTGTTACTTAATTTTGGGATAAGTTTTTTTAATTTTTTAAATCACTTTGGATTTTCTTAGGTTTATCTTAATAAAGTTGTAAAACCATGTAAAGTAAAGTCAGAGAATTTAGAAGCTGTAAAATTATTTAAATATTTCGCTTTAACCTTTACAAATTTATGATGGTAGAACTATTAACTTGTTGTAGGCTAAATTTTTTAAATTAAATTTGAATGATGAAATGATCAGAGTATTCATTATACTCATATTTATTTGCAGATTCTAAGCGGAAATATGATCTGTTCTACTTTTTACTAAAGTATTTATCTTTTTTCTCTAAAATGTATGCATATTAGGAGGGATTAATCCATAAAAGAGATCAAATGGTTTTCTTTTATATTTGAAATCACCACAGATGATAATTATTTAATTTGGATTCATTGCATTTATGAATCTACTGAATTCTAACAGAACACCATTAATTGTATGGGAACTTCCATTAGGAACCTTGCCTTTTTGTTATTTCTTCATGAGTTTTTGATAATCTTCAAGTTGGAAATATGCACAAATAATCGTTCATCATCATGCTCAGACACTTCAGATATTTAGTTGAATTATTGTCTGTTTGGTTTAATAGGAGAATATTTTAGTTTAATTTTTAATAGAACTTTGAATTTATTCTCCTAAATCTTTTACTGCTGAATTCACACATAACTTTAAATCAGATTTAATATTAGCCCTAGTTTAATATTTTCTTAAGCTATAAGATTACTCTTATTTTGAGTTGATTTAATAAATTCCTTTAAGAAGACAATTAACTAATCTGTTTGGGACATTCAGTTTTTTTTCATAGTTTAGTTGTTGGGTTATTTTTTTATCATAGCCTTAATAATCTAAGGATTCTTTTGGAACAAAAATATTGGATTCTCAGGCTCCATAGAAAAGGTATTTTCAATTTTTGCCCTATACACAACAATTTTTCTCATAAATTGAGTTGAGAATATTTAAAGCATTTTAGGATGAAATTGATTTTGGACAATATTTTTAATGCAAGAGAATCATGACATTAAAGAGCATGATTAGTAATGATTTACTTACAATCGCTCATTTGAAATAATGTCTCTAATAACTCAAAAATATTTGTTTCATATTTATTTCTAATAATTTCTATTTGTTATACACTTTTAATATGAGAAATCAACACATTTAGAAATTTCTAGTTTTAGACTATCGGATTGATTAGTTTAATTCTTTTAAAATCCAGTCAAACTAATATAAAGAGGCACGAATTATTAATGTAATGACTTAACAAATTTAGTATATCTAGTGGATAAGTTCGATTAAATAATTTGATTTTAATTGTCCAAAACATTTTTACTATTTTAGTAGAGGGATCTTATAGCATCAAGAATAGTAGAAGAAATATCTAGCAATGTTTATGCCATAAATTGATTTTAAAAAATAAATAATCAATCTATTTCGATTATCAGAAAATTCTAACTCAATTATAACCAAATTGCTGAAGAGCTACAATTATTCCATTAAATA